TGGGCTGCCGTGCTGTGCCGATGAGCTGTTTGTCGGCTCAGTGCGGTAGTCTGGACGCTCCGCAGTCGACATCACAAGCCTTTGTTGACCGTCCCGGTAAACCTCATCCCACGAGGCACAACGGGACGGTCGACAAAGGCTTTTGATGTCGACTGCAGAGCATCCAGACTACCGCGCTAAGCCGACAAACAGCTCATCGGAACAGCGTGGCAGCCATTTTGATGTAAATGAAGCGGCGATTATTTAAATCACCGCTTCATTTTGCTATGTCTACAAAGCTCATCTACATGGCTCGGTCGACGAAGCCATGTAGTGTAGATATACCCTAAACCTCCTTCCGCCACCCCAAACCTACACTGGGGAAAAGTGAAAACTCACTTCTTGGACAATCTGTCAGAAAGAGATTTTTTTCTCCAGTCCCTTTGGAAAAAGTGGTGACCAGTATAATACCCATTGCAGGTCATGAAGGAAACCAGGATTTTTTCAGATTTCATGAGTGGAAACTGTAGATTCTGTCAGCCCGATCCAAGTAAAAGACAGCTTATTTGGGACTGGCCAAGGTATAAATGCCCTAACTTCTGCACATCTGGAAGAAACTGGACCTTCCCTGCCCCACAATCAGAACCTGGGGTCAAATGATTCCTTTCCTTTCCTTACTTTCGTCTTTCTCACCTCCTGCTACCAATTGCTACCCGCAAAGGGGTAACAATCCCTATTTTTCCAAGCTGCCAAAAAAGGACCCCACTGCATACAGCTGTGGTAAGCACATTCACCTAGGCTCATTCTCATAAGGGATTATAAAGGAAGTAACCATTTGCCTCGGCCATACATGCACCAGATAACTATAAATGATCAATGTAAATGTCTCAAGTCCATCATCCTTGGCTAAGTAAGACAAAAATGCAGAAGAAACATTCTGATGCTCCAGGAAAGGATTAACTGCCTGATGTGAGATAATTTGCCCTATAGATACGCTGTTCAGGAAATCTTTTATATTCTTTTCTGAATCATCTGAGGCCTTGTCTATACTTACCTGGAAGCTTGAATTGCTACATTAATTACTGGAGTCAATGTACTTTCATTCGACCTTTGGCACCATTTCCACAGAAGGGGTCAACGGGAATAAACTAATCGAGGAGTCAACGGGCACCCTCAGAATTCTATTTAGCAGCAGTGAAGACATGGTCTGATGCTAGTCTCTACTTGAGACAGAATAACTGACTAGAAAGACATTTGGTCTGTCTTATCTGATAAGTTCTATGGTCCTAATTAAGCTAAATGTGTCAGAAAATATAGAACAAAACATTTAAAGTGAGCTTTGATTTCACATAATGCTGTGTAGCTTCCCTTTTTTATCTGGCTACTATTTTAATATACACATTTTCATGTGCTTTAACAGAAGAATATGTATTCTCACTAGAAGGAAAAAAAATTGGTTCATTCAAAAATTTTAAAGCTTTCAAATTTTTCTGATAGAAGAATCAAAATATTCTCTTGGTAAGCTTAATAAAATACAGAAAATAAGGAATTCTATTACATAAAAGGAGATACAATTTTGGTTGGGGTTGAATTGCATAAGAAGCAATTTTGAGAAGATAAACACAAATGTATTTTAATATTATGTCTGAGAGAAAGAGGATGAATAGGAACACACATAGGGATATATAATGAAAAATCCCTGAATAGAGTAGCAGTAACAAAAAGTTTATTATACATGGAGAAGATAATTAAGTAGCAAAGCTAGGAGAAAAGAGCATGAAGTGTTTTTTGTAACAATAGTTGCACGAGGATAGAGTTTCATTAACTATACTGAAGCTAAAGATTCAATTTTTAAATAAATGTATAAGCAAGTATTCACTGGAATAAAATGTTTACTCACAGAATTTCTTCATCATGACAATGAAATGTTAGAGAAAAAGAGAGCACGAGAAAGCTAGGATCAAAGAGCAAAAGGGAGAGCAAAACTAGCAGCCACCATGTTTCTAATACCTGTGATTGGAGAAACACCAAGCAATCTTGTCAGAAAACAGAAACAGGAATACAGTAGTCCCATTTTTCATATGCAAGATAAGAGTAAATATAAATTGTCTGCCTTCTTAACAACCCAGACAAACAGAGGAAGCTGTGAAAAGTATGAACTAATTTCCAGAGCCCTTACCTGTTCTACAAATAGATTAAAAATCCATTAAGCTATCTCAATTAAAAACTACACATTATCTATTATTTCTATTAATCTGTATTAGAAGATGCATTTTAATATGCATAACGAGGAATAAGGCTCTGTACAGAGATAACAGGTGTCTGTTTCAATTTTTAGAGAAATAAAAAATCTGTACATTTGGAACGTGGAAATATTTTAAACCATCAATTTATTTAGACAAATTTACAAATGAAAGTTCTGATGATCTAAATCACAGGATGAAAATAATCAGCTTCCCTGAAACACGAATTTTGGATCCTAATAGGGTCAATCCATCCTTTTCCTTGGACGACTACGTAGGTAAAGTGAATACCAATCAAATTCATGAGGATTTTCCAGACCCAATGTTAAAGACAGAGATCCTGAATGGTCTCATGGGCTTTAAGGATTCTATGGCAGTTTTCATTGCAAAATGAAACTCAATAATGAAACTCGGAATTTCTATCTAAAAATGTTTTATTGTTACAATTAACAAGATGACGAATGGAAAGATTACAGAAAAACAATTTTCTCTATTGTTTCAGTTAGTTTACTTAGTATATTTGACCGGATTTCTGTGAATATTTATTGCTACATGGGTCATAAACCTGGACCTTCTTACAGGAAAATCTTGAGAAATTCTATATACACTGTCAGCACCACATCCAGATCATGAAATCATTTAACTTTGTGTGAAGTGTCACAATTTCACAAAG